CTCCGCGCCTTGCTCGAAGGCCTCATTCTGCAGGCTCGCCTCGAGCGCGACGGCGGCGCCTTGCTCGACCGTCAACCCACTCCCCAAAGGCGCCATCTCCGCTTTGGGAAAACCGGAAATGGGGTCGATCGTGGCGGGATCGATCGGTTTCCCCGCCTCCAACGCGAGTTTCGCGCCGTAGGCGTTTAACTTCAGCTTCGTTTTGGCGACCTCCAGGGGGTCGGCGGTGCCGGAGAGGGCTTGATGGGTTTGATCGGGATCCAAATCGATCACGCCGGCGGTGATGCCGTGGAAGACGTCGCCCATCTCCCCTTGCCGCTCCGCCTCCTCCTCGAGCAACGCGCGCTCGCTTTGGAGGCCGTGGTGGATGACTTTTCGCTCCTCCCCGTCGATCATCCACATCCGATCGCGATAGCGAACATCCGAAAGGTGTTTCCACGAGGTATCCGACCATCGTTGGTCGGACGGGAGCACCCGTCGTCGGCCGTGCTCGTCGTAATGATCGAGGTAATCGGTAAACCCTTGCGGCCAAATCAGGCGATCCTTCTGCGCCTTAAACAGGCGATCCTTCCAGTGCAGATACCACTCCTTCTCCCGCTCGATCGGGTCCTGGATGAACAACTCAAAGCGATCGCGAATATCCTGTAAGACCTCCTCCGGGGTCGGGATGAGGGATTTTCGCCAACGCACCTCCCACGGCAACCCATCCACGTCTTGTTGCTGCTGCAGCATCCCCTGGCGGAGCTGCGGGGCGCTTTTCGTGAGCCGCTCGCCCGGGCCGTCGGGGCCGAAGCGACGACGCATCGCGTGTTCCCGCTCGACATCCGTGCGAGCCCGCCTTTCCCGCGGGATCTCGCGAACCGCCACGTGCTCGAGGTGATCCATGGAAAAGCGAAGATGCGCGGTGAGATCGGGCGCCTCGGCGAGCATCATCGGATGGCCCGTCGTGGGATCCGCGTTCGGTTGATGCCGTTGACGATCCCGTGTCGTGCCGGAGGAAGGGGTGGTTTGATCCCGCCTGGGGGTTTCCAACCCGGCGAGGAAAAACGCCCCGGGCGAGGAAACCCGCACACCGCGGGCAGGGCTGGCGTGGAATCGTCGCATCCCCACGTCGTCGTCGTTCGGATGCGAGGAAATCAGAAAGGAAATCGTTTACTAGACAGTTTGTTCACCAATTTTCGTACCCTACGGGGGAGGGGGGGGGAGGTTGGTTGTGGAGGTCGGGGTCGGGGGTTAGCATGAGGGCGAGGAAGAAGAGGAGGGAGGAGGAGGAGAAAGAAAGATATCACGATGAATGTGAAGAGAAGTGAAAAACATCTGTCGGAGAGTTTTTTTTTCTTTTTTATTGTTTTCTTTACCTATCGGCGGTGCAGTTAATCCACCCAGGCTTTCGGGAATGTATTAGACCATCAATAGCCTTCCATCACATCGTTTTTCCAGTCTACGCCGTCGGGAACGCACGCAATAAATTATACGAGGTTAGTAATTAACAAGGGATAATTGTGTCCGCCAAAATAAATAGACAAGACGTGGCTTCCAAAAGAAACCCACTCTTAAATAGCAATACACAGAATCTATTATATAGATAAATAGATATACTTAACCTGTTAAATCACAAGAAAGTGAAACAGTGAAAGAATGGCGCAACAAAGCAGATAGGTTCCTTTTTTTTTCATTCGCCTACTATAGAAATTTGAGTCCTTACTAAAGCCATCAGGAAAGGTACGAGACCGGCTACTTGCTAGTTTTGAGCCCTAGCACGCAAAAAAAAAAAAGGGGGGTTATGAATAACTATAACATCCTAGCCAGGAGCACACCGCAGGAGTCAAGTGAAGGAGAGCCTGGGAAGCGCTATGATATCGGAACCGTTTTCTGCTTCTTTTGGTTGGATGTCGCTCGGGAGGAGCTTCGAGGGGGGGATGGCGCTGGCGTCGCTTCGATTGTTCGCGCGGGAATCGGCTCCCCTTTTAGAATTTTTTCCAACTCCGGGCCACTCAAGGTTTCGTATTTGAGCAAATGATCCACAATGACCTTCAACTCCGCCTGATGCCCCTCCAGCAACTTCTTCGCCTCGACGTAGGACTCACGGACCAACTTTTGAATCTCCTTTTCAATCCGCCGCTTCGTTTCGTCAGACATATAAGCCCCTTCCGGGGTGTCGGAGGACTCGTAGTCGATAAAGCCTAAATCCTCACTAAACCCGAACCGACGAACCATGTTTCGCGCGAGGGTGGTGGCCTGGTGAAAGTCGGACCCCGCCCCGGTGGTGATATCCTCCTTTCCGAGCAAGACCTCCTCCCCGATCCTCCCCGCCACGCAGACCTGCAAGGCGGCCAGGCATTCCCGACGACTTTTGCTGTATTTATCCCGCTCCGGCATTTGCTGCACCAACCCCATGATCCCATTTCCTCTCGGCACGATCGTCGCCTTATGCACGGGCTCCGCGCCCTGATCCTTCAACAACATCGCGACGAGCGCGTGGGCGCCTTCGTGGTAGGCGGTAATCAACCGTTCCCGTTCGGGGATCACTTTTTGACTCGCGGCCCCCATCATCACGCGATCCCGCGCGAACTCGACCTCGTGTTTCGACACCGCGGGTTTGTTTAACACCGCGGCGCGGATCGCCGCGAGGTTGACGAGGTTGCTGAGCTCCGCGCCGGTGAACCCGGTCGTCCCGCGCGCGATCTCCATCGCGTTCACCGATCCGTCGACCTTGATTTTGTCTAAATACAACTGCAGCACCTCGGCGCGGCCTTTCATATCCGGCGGATCCACCACCACCGTCGTATCCAACCGACCAGGCCGCGTGAGGGCCTTATCCAACGTCTCCGGCGTGTTCGTCGCGGCGAGGATGATGACGGACTCGTTCGTCTGAAACCCATCCATCTCCGCCAACAACTGGTTTAACGTCATACGGGAATAGGCGTGATCGGCACGCGAGCGTTTCCCCCCAAGGGCGTCGATCTCGTCGATGAAAATCAACGCCGGGGCGCGCGCCTTCGCCGCGGCGAAGAGATCGCGAATCCGTCGAGAACCGACCCCGACGAACATCTCATCGAATTCGCTCCCGGTGGCGTAGAAAAAACTCACCCCGGCCTCCTTCGCGATCGCCTTCGCGAGCAGGGTCTTGCCACAGCCAGGGGGGCCTACCAGGAGGACGCCTTTCGGCAAGCGGCTGCCGAGCTCGTGAAATTTCTCCGGATCCTTCAAAAAATCCACGATCTCGGCCAGCTCCTTCTTCGCCTCATCACACCCGCGAATATCCTCAAAGGTCGTCTCCAGGGTCTCCAAATTCACCGGCTTCACCTCGGCGCTCCCGAGCATCGTCTGCAGCCCCTGCGGCACCCCACTCACCTTGGAGGAGTCCATGCTTTCGTGGAATTGCCCGAAAACGTCATCCGGCAGGCTGAACGCGAGCACCGAGCCGAGAAGAAACATCCACCCCAGCCGCCAAACCCACCGCAGCTTCGACGTCGTGGACGTCACGACGATCGGCCGTTCTTTCGTCCCCAAATCCCCGGGAAAGGCGTTGTAGGAAACCGGAGAAGCGGGTGGAAAGCCATAAAACCCGGGTGGATACGTGTAGGGGCCTGGTAAAGGCGGGTAGAACCCCGACGCATTTTCCGGATTCCCCCCGGACGAAGGTGGAGGCGGCGGCGGAGGGGGGTAACCTGGGGGGGAACTATAATAAAACCGCCTTGGATCCAACCCTGCGGCGGGGGTAATCCCTAACCGCAGCTTCCGAAAACTCGGATGCGTTGGTACCCGCCATACGCCAAAACGACGGCGGGAACGAGCCTTCGCGGCCGCTCCATAGCAATGCATAGGAAGCATGTGGGACCTAAAGGTAAAAAGAAAAGAATACGAGCACTATTACGGATTGAAGAATAGAAAACAAAACAAAACCCAAACAAGGTAGAAGAAGGGAGAGGGAATGGAGCACCTCACCTTGGAAAGGTATGGGGATTGCCTGAACGCTCCAATGAAAGCATAGTGAAGTAAAACTCACCAATACAATCGCTTAGAGAGTCTAAAGTACCGCATTAAATGCGAAAGCAAATTTAAGGTAAGTTGCGGGCATTTACTGAACCGCTTTTACCACACAAGCATGGAGGAGACCAATAAAATGCGGCAAGATAAGCTTAAGCGTCATTAAGGAGGCAAAAGAATTAAGAAAAAAAACGATCCGATAACCGATGTAAAAATACAATCAATATCAACCCCGCAGGGGGAAAAACGCTCACTTAAACTTCATCGTACACTAAAAAGATGAGGAGGTCGGATGAGTAACGTCGCGCCTGAGCTCCCGAATGCCATCACTAACATCGCTTTCCTATGGATATCTCTAAGATCATTGAAAGACAGCACAGCACACTAGAGAATTTAGAAAGAAAAATGCGTTAGGGAGTTTAAGCGCTACGCACCTTTATTCTTGGAACAACTAGGTTCCTCTAAGTAAGAGGCTATACGGACTTGTGGTGGGTAGGCATTGGAAAAATTTAGCCGCCCTCAACTGAAACTCCGCTGTGGCGAAGCTGCAATTGAGATGGACACAACACTGGCGGAACAAAAAACCGCTATAAGCCGATGCTCATATGCATGCCGCAAACCAACAACAAAAGGATTCTTGTAACCTTCCTAACAATAATTAAATCCCTCCGTCATCGAAACGGCGTGCACGAACCTTTTTTACTCACACAAATGACTGCGTTTACAAGCATAAGTAGTCTAACTATAAAAAACTATGCCCCATGAAATGAAAAGCGGTCCAAAGCGAAGTGCCAACGAAATTGAAATGGAAAGGTAGTAGAAATGCCTTGCTAATTGAAATTGCAAGGCTTCCCTTACTTCGACCCGCTTCCCTCTCGCATGGCTAATCACAAGAGGTATAGGAAAGGGAGCACAAAAGCAACGTACACTAATCTAGCCGTATAGAAAAAGAGCGTTAAAAAAAAAAGAAGCAATACGTTCAAGTCGGCACTAGTCTCGCTTCTTACTGTCGATAAGAAGGGTTACCGGACCGTCATTGACGATCTCAATATTCGAATAATGCTGGAACTTTCCGGTGGCAATCTTGTCAGGATCGTACTCCGCTCGAAGTTTATCGCAGATGCTCTTAAACATTTCTAAGGCACCCTCTGGCGGCATCGCGCGATGAAAGTCAGGCCTACAGCCCTTTAACGTATGCGTAAGCGTGAACTGCGAAACCATCAAAATGCCCCCGTTGATCTCCTTCACATTTCGATCCCACGCCTTCCCCTCCTCATTTGGCCAGATTCGCACGGTGAGAATCTTGTGTGCGATGTAATTCATATCCTCCTGTTTATCATCGCGGTCGATCCCAATCAACACAACCATGCCTTTCCCAATGGAGCCAATGATCTCACCATCGACGGTTGCCACACCACGCAAAGCTCGTTGAATAACTATCTTCATTTAATATTCGATTCGATCCGGTTGCTTGTTTTTTATTTGATTCGTAATGTGTATTTACCCTAATTCCTCGTAAGTGTAGATAAAACTAAGGGAGCTAATGGGCAAGAGCAAGCATAAAGACCAAAAATCTACCCCAACATGGAGAAGAAACATTAAAAAGTTTCTCTTTTTTTTACTTCCGATTCATGCAGATTCGATATCGAGATGTATAAATTGCATACAAATGGGGGAGGGAGGGGGGAGGTTGAGAAAAAAAGAGAAATGGAGAATATATACTCAGATACTAAGAAGTGAAGCAGAGCGAACAACCTAAACTGCTTGGCTCACCCGTATAGAAGCTCAAGAACTTCATGTGGTTTCCACCCCGCCCGCTTAATTCCTTACTCATATGAGTGCTCTCTCAACCTCACCTCAGCTCTCCTTGTTCACCGCTCGAAACACCTCCTCTTGCATCGTGGCGATCCTCCACACCATCAAAAGTACGCCCCTCGACGGACGGCGAGAATCGCTGAATCCGCGCTCCCGACAACTTCCCCGCGGAGGAAGGGAGGGGTGGGTTTTGTAGAAGTTGAAAAATGACGTGCTTCGCCTTTTGGATTTGAGCTCGCCGGACGGATACCACCCGGACGTGGTTCGCTTCGAGGAGTCGTGGCGTCGTCGGCGCCGCCTCGCGCATCGCCCCTTCGTCTTCATTCCAGAAAAAAACCTCCGCGATCGGACCTTCCGCGGTGCGGTGGGGGGTGCTTCGAAACTGGTGCGCGAGAAAACACGCCTCGGCGGCGCCATCTAAACACGCCCCTTCGCCATCCATCGAAAACATCGAAGCAAAGGCGCCGCGAGGGAGGGTGTGGGGGGCGGCCACGCAACACCGATACCCCGGCGTTTCCCGCATCGACGGCCCCCCCTGCAGCTTCGCGAGGAGGGCGGTTGAAAACCCCCCCAAATCCGCCGCCCCCCTCCCCTCCTCGGCCGCCGCGATGCCGCGTTGGAGATACCGAAGCCCGTCGTAGGTGAGAATAAACGTGAGGTGGAACGCCTCGCAGGAGGACGGAAGCCACGGGCGAAGGGTTTGTTGTGTGAGGCGTTCAAAAAATCCAACCTCCCAGTCCTCGCCGGGGGGGCAAGGGGGGGGATGGAGCTTTTCCAACGTTCCCACGCTGATCACCACCGCGAGCTCCACGGGTGAGGACCGGGAGGACCTCTTTTTGTCCGGTCGGGTGGGATTGGCCCCTCCGTTTTCATTGATTCCCCGCGTGAGCGGGGTGGTTTGGATGGGAAACCCCATCCAACGACTCAGCAGGTGATCCACGTGGGGAAAATCGGAAGGGGCGATCCCAAAACGATACAACACCCGCGCGAGCTCGCCAGACTCCGGCGGATGCCCCTCCCGTGCGGGATTTCCCACGATCCCACACATCAACGCCGTGTTCGCCTTCAAGGCTTGATGCAGATGAGGGGGGGGGAACCCCTTGGCGGAAGGAAAAGGGGTCCCCGTCGAGGCTTCCGGAATCCCCGCCTCGCGCAACCGGTGGGCGTAATCGGAACGCAGAAGATGCCATAACCAACGACGGGGGCCCTCGGCCGCGAGGCTTAGCCAGTCGTGTTGGATTTGTCGAATCCGCGCGAGGCGGGACCCCCCATCCCTCCTCTCGCCACCTCCACAGATCTCTGAGGTGAACGCGGCCGTCCAAGGGTCCTCCCAATGCCCGGGCGCGAGCATCAACGCGAGAAATAAAAGCAACCCCCCTGTAAGCCCCTCCGCAGGGGTCGTTCCCGCCCGCGCGATGTACGACAAGGGCGTCTGGACATCCCGGAAGTGATCTCGTAACTGTCGTAAAGGGGACGGGCGATCGGTCGGGGAATCCCGGGGTTCCGTTGCCGTTCCCCCCCCCTCCCGGGCGAGGTCGACCCTTTCCGCGAGCAGCCGAATCGCCGCCGCGAGGGCGTACGGCAGCCACCCCCCCTTTTCCATCCCTTCCCCAAAGGCCTCGGGAAAGACCCCGAGCAGCGCCGTGGGATCGACCACGGGAAACACGGACGCGATCGGGGCGGCAAAGGGCATCCCCCCTAAAGGGGATTGCAGGATTCGCGCGATCCCGGGCACGCACCCCTGCAGGCCAAGCTCGACGCACGCCGGGAGGAGCCGTTCCGCGTGGGAAGCAGGGATCCCCCTGCGCACGACCTCAAGGAGGTCCAAGGCATAACCCCCGAGCCGCGCGACCTCCGCGCGGGATAACGCGCGCATGGAAACCGCCTCCGACGGCGTCGACCGCGAAGGCCCACGCGCACGCGCCCGGGCGGGTTGTTGCAGTCGCGCGATCCGGCGAAGCAGCTCAATCGCCATCCCGACGACGCCACCCCAACTCGTCGCGCCGCGCAGCGCGCGAAACACCCCGAGCGCCTCCTCCAACGAGGCCAGTGGCGAGGGATCGGTTTCAGCCAGCGAGGACGACGCCGCGGCGGGGAAGGCCTCCAACGGGCGTCCCAACGGCGAAGGCGGGGCATCCAACACGGCGCGAACGACGCTTTTCAGGAGCCGAATCGCGCTCCGCTCAAACGCGGCGTCGGCGTCGCCGCCGAGGGGGATCGCGGGCGCGAGGGAAGCCCCCGGTCGCCCTTCCGCGTCGGCCCCACGAGGCAACCCCACCTGCGCGCGGAACCGCCCCCACGCCTGACGAAGGGACGGGAAAGGGTTGCGAGCCGCACGGGATCCGTTCCGGGGCTCCCGTCCCCGCCCGGAAGCCAACGCACCGTGAAATCGATAAAGCAAAACCATCAGCCGGGTAACCATCTCGGGATCCCCGGCGACCGCGGCCGCCTCGGCGCAGTGCGCGAGGACCTCATCGGTGAGCAAATGATTCGATTGCGGGGGTAACCGCGCGACGGCGGCCGCTTCTAAGAGCGAAAGCGCCTTTTGTTTGGAAGGCATCGCCCCCGATCGAATCAGCGTCGAGGCTACCACCCCAATCAACGCCGGGGAGGTTAACACCGCCTCGTCTTGAGGGTGCAAGGGGAGGAGATGAAAGGAATTTCCACCTCGCGCGAGCCGTTCCATGATGGATTCGAACGCGATCTCGGAGCGCTTCGGAGGGTTTCCCACGGGGTCGCGCGAATCCATCCCTAACACCTTCGCCAGCCATTCAAGGCCGATGGAGGGATCCACCACGGCGCCCATCACCTCCTGAATCGCCACCGTTTTGAGCTTCACCACCTCCTCCCTGGATAAATCCCATGAACTTAACACGCCATACTGCGGATGAATGGGTTTTCGCAACAAATCAAGGAATAAGGCCCCCACCTTCATCCCATACACGTCGCCCAACCCCGCACGCGAAAGCGCCTGTAATAACAATAAGAAGTGGTTTGGAGTAGACTCCCCCCCATCCGAAAGGGAGGAAGAAGAAGAAGAAGAGGAAGAGGAGGAGCAAGGGAGGTAAACCGCGTAGTGTTTTTTCTGCTCTTGCCAAAGGCAATACTCCGCGATCTCCTCCAAGGCGGCGCGGGTATGAAAGGGCTGCGCGAGAAGTCGCGTCCAAGGAACGGCCACCGCCGCCATCATCGTCGCGATCCCCCCGGAAGAAACCCCGTTTTCAGAAGTCGCACCTTTTCGAGGATGAGGGTGGTAATGACGATACCCCCCTCCGGCGATCCCACCAACCCGTCCGGAACCCCACGAGCGCGACCATGACGCCGCCTTCGAGGCGAACTGAGAAGAAGCACGAATGGGTTCCCGCGTTAGAGTGGTCGTCATACTTTTCCCTACTTTGATCCTACGAGGGTCCAATTGGACTGCATCAAATTTGAGAATACGTCGAGAACAAGCAAAGATGTGATAAAGAGTTTGAGAATCCTTGTTTGGACTTGGTTCGTACACTAAAAAGGAAAGATGAGGAGGTCGGATGAGTAACGTCGCGCCTGAGCTCCCGAATGCCATCACTAACATCGCTTTCCTATGGATATCTCTAAGATCATTGAAAGACAGCACAGCACACTAGAGAATTTAGAAAGAAAAATGCGTTAGGGAGTTTAAGCGCTACGCACCTTTATTCTTGGAACAACTAGGTTCCTCTAAGTAAGAGGCTATACGGACTTGTGGTGGGTAGGCATTGGAAAAATTTAGCCGCCCTCAACTGAAACTCCGCTGTGGCGAAGCTGCAATTGAGATGGACACAACACTGGCGGAACAAAAAACCGCTATAAGCCGATGCTCATATGCATGCCGCAAACCAACAACAGAAGAAGAATCACCTTTCAATCCAAACGACACGGGAATGAAGATCCTTCAAACGGAAATCAAGCAGCATCAACAATGCAAGCAAATGATATATTAAATATATATACATATATATTTACCCTTCACTCTTCTTTTATAATTTAAATATTATCTATTAGAAAAAAATCATGCCGTTCACCCACTCTGGATCCAAATCCGCGTTATACTTCCGATAAAAGTTTAGCGCGGGCTCGTTCCATTCAAGTACCTGCCATACCATGCCCTGATACCCTTCCCGCTTCGCGTGTGCGAGAACGCATTCGAACAAGGCGTGCCCGATCCCTTTCCCGCGGTAGGATTCCGATACGACGAAATCCTCAAGATAGAGCAACCGCCCTTTCCACGTGGAGTAGCGATCGTGATAAAGCGCCATCCCCACCACGGTGGGGTTCCCCGCCTCCGCCGCCGCGTCGCCCTTCAACTCCACGACGTAGGCCCCCCAAATCGGCTTCGGGCCGAACCCACACGCAGTCATCTCCTCGAGCGAAACCGTCACCTTATCAAGGGCTTTTTCGTACTCCGCGAGCTCCCGGACGAGCTGCAACATTGCCGGGCAATCGGAAGAAACCGCCCGACGGATGTGAAAATCCGCCCCAACCAACGTCGTTTCCTCAGCCATGATAGAAATGGATCAAGGAAGGTGGTTTAAACGTCAAGAGGCGTTTGTTTGGGAATTTTGGTAGCGGGTAATGCGGAATTGATGGGTTGGTTTGGCTTTGTAGAAAGAGTTGATCCTAAACAATAGCACCGATGCAACACATTAAAGAAACGCCGAGAGAGACCCAATGAATTCGCATGAAAACAAACACAGCGACAATCCGTAAAGGATAACAGTAGTTTGGCGGTTCGTCGCGTATTTCTTTACTATTTTTGAAGCACTACCATGATTTAGACGAATGGAAAATGAAATGCGAAACACAGAAACCCAAAGCCCAAGTCGAAAAGAAATAGTAGCTCCCATCTACTTTCGAAATAGTGAAGCAAAATGTTGCAGTGTAGGAATGCATTTATTATTGCTAATGATTATATTACATCTACGTTAATGTGAAGTGAATATGAATGTTAAATCGACCTGGTAAGCACACCAGGGCGGGCCCATCACCGTCGATAGGGTGAAAGGAGATGAGAAACAAAAGAAAACTGCTGTGAATGCACGAAGGCATACAGTCTATATGGAAAATACTGCCGCACACATAAGGTGAGTTCACATTGCTATAGGTGCTTATGCCTTTACCATCTACACGCGCAAATCCACACAGAGGAAATATATATATATATATATATATATGCTAAGGATAAAATATTTCCCGATTATTTTTGAACCGCCAACAACGTTTCAAACCCCTTCAGTTCGCGAAGTTGGTCCTTGATAGGTTCCCCACCGATCGCGCAAACCCTGGAAATCGCAATCGCCAGGTTTTTTGTGGTGGATCGTAGATAGTTGCTCCAGCGCTGCAGGTAGGAAACCACCCCTGATGGGGTTTTCTTTTCTTTACTCATCTCCACACTTTCTCGAGAAACCAAATGAGCGGAGTTGTGCGCGTCGCGAAGCGCCTGCAAAAGCACCTCCACGGCTTTCCATCGAAGAAGCAACGCGACGGCCTCCTCGGATGGGGTGGGAGGGGGGGGAATCCTCGAGAGGAGGAGGGCGGCATTCCCAGCCGCCACGACGGCCGCCACCGAAGGTGCGACGGGCTCGCTGGGAGAGGCGATCCACGGCGTCGGATTCCCCTCCCCCATTCCCATCGCGTGCAAAAAAGCCTCCGTCAACCGCAACGGACTGAACGCAATAAGGCGAACCAGCCACCCGGCGTTCTCGATTTCCACCCCCCCAACTTCCTGCGGCAACGCGGCGAGGATGGTGGTGAGGTGCTCGAGATGCTCCCACGCGAGCCCCACAGGGGTCTCCCCTCCGGCGGTTTCCAAAACCCCTTCCGCGGCCGCGATCCACCCCCAAAGGCCTCGCGCGATCCCCGGTGGAAAGGCGGCCTCGCCGGCCGTGAGAAACTTCGCGAGGACGCCGAACATCTTCGCGGAGAGGGGCGTCAAACCCGAGGCCGCCGTGCATTCCCGCGCGAGGAGGTGATGCAACGTCGAATCGACGAGGGAAAAGGATCCCCCGGACCACCCCCGCACGTAGGCCCCTCGGGTGGGTTGCAGGAGGGTGAGGTTGTACACCACGGCGTAGAGCGCCTCGAGGAGACGGGAATCCTCCACGGAAGGCGACGGCGACGTTCGCGCGAAAACCGACCGAAACGCGTCGCGCAGCAAATCGGTAAACCCCTTCGTGGCAAGCCGTTCAACCCCCCATCGAAGCCCCTCCCCCCCCACCTCGGGATCCCGCCGGCGGGAGGCCATCGAGGTGAGGTGAAGCGCGAGCTCCGCGGCCGCGTTTTGCATCCACGGCCTCATCGAAGCCGGCAACCCCCCCTTTTGCGAAGGGCCGAGGCAAGGCGGGTTAAAAATGCGCCTCACGACGCCCAACACGACCCCGTCGTCCTCGCCGTCGTCGCCGACTCGGGCGGGGAAAAGCTGCCGCCCAAGGCCGCCTTCCGAGGCCGCCGACGAGAGCCTTTCCCAGGCGGATCCATCCGTTAAAAGGGCATCCAACCACCCCACAAAGTAGGAAAGCGTCACCCACCCCCGCGCGGTCGCTCCGGGGGTTTCAAAATACGGCGACCGCCACAGGCCGAGCAGCAGCCCGTCGCCGGAGCGATCCCGCGGCTTTTCCACCGCGCCCTGCACGAGATCGCCGTAGCGAAGGGTGAGACTTCGCAGGCATTGAAGGATCGCATCCAAGCGATCCCTTTGCGAACCCCGGAGGCACACGGAACCCCTTGAGTCGGAGGTGGGCGCCCCAGCCGCATCCGGCAGGTGGGGATGCCCCACCATCCCCACGAGGCGGGCGATCAACGCGTTGATGAAATCCCCCACCACGGCGGTTTCGATCATCTGCGTGGAAATCTCAGACCCCTCCCACACCACCGCGAGAATCTGAAGCAGTTGAATGAGCAAGGTAGCCTGAAGCCGCGCCGATCGCCGGGGATCCTCGAGATCCCGCTCCGATGCGGCGGGGTCGTCCGTGGTGGAAGGGGCCGCCGCGTGGGAGGATTCCGCGCGCAGGAGGCGCCGCGCGACGGAAACCGCGGGCAACAACCCACCACGATGCGCAAAAAACACGCATGCGCCCGTCCCCTGAGCGTGCAGGATATCCACCCCTTCCCAGAGCGCCTCCACGAGAGAAACAAACGAAGCGGAAGACGCAAGCCCCCCCCCGACCGCCCCTGCCACTTCGGGCGAGGAAAGCAGGGAGATGAGCTGGCAAAGACGCCCCGCGCGCTCCGCCGCTTCGGTTTCGAGAAATCGGTTGCTCTCAAGGAGCTCCAACTCGGCTTTCCGCAGCCACGCGTGTTGCACCAATCCCTCCGCGTTTTTCGGCTCCAACTCGAGGACCTTCGTGATGTCGTTTAAAGCCTCCACCGGACGATACAGATGACGAAGAGCAACCGCGCGTCGGAGCAACGCCTTGAGGTTGTTCGGCTCGCGTTGGAGCACAAACGAGGCATCCCCGAGCGCCTCAAGAAATTTTTGCCCGTTGATTCGTGTGAGCGCCCGATTGTTATACAGCACCGTCAGCAAACTCTCATCAACGGGTTGAAGCTGGATGGCGCTGGTGTAAAGTTCCTCCGCGCGGCCCCATTCCCGACCCCGCACGGCGATCGCGGCCTCCTGCTTCAGCCGCTGGGCTTCTTGGAGTGAAATTTTCTCCCCTTTGCTGAGGTAGGCGGCGGTGACGTCGTCGCCAACCCGGAGATGGGAGGCGGTTGTTTTCCGCGAAGGTAAATCCGCCTCCTTGAGCATCGCATCAATGACATCATCCCGTTCAAAGCGATTGTAATACTTTGGCTCGTAGCGAATCTTTATTTTCGCAAGTCGTTCCTTCTCAAGTTTCTCCTTCTCCTCGCGCTGCCTGGCCTCACGTATCGCTTTTCTCTGTAGTGCCTCCATGGGATCTTCTTGCAGGATGTCTTGAATGGCCTCTGTGACCTCTTCAATACGCTGCTCCCATTCTTCAATCTCTGCTTTGGATGCTGAGGGCATGATAAAATATCAATTTATATATATATAGATATATATATATATATATATCTTTTTTTGTCCTTCCGGTTTCAAGAAAAAATAAGAAAAATCAGCTACCCATCCCGCAAAATAATCACATAGATGCTGTTGGGAAAAAAAAACACTCTAGCTCAGCTTGTTATTGTAGTTCGATCTTTTTTCTGTTAACGTCGCTTAACAAGAGGAAGTAATTGGGGTTCAACATCAATTGGAAGAAATAGGAAACTCAATATCATAAGTCTTGTACAACAGCGCGACGAAATACAATGGAAAAGCTCCCCCATATCGTTATCAACTAGAGCAACCGCCCTACTCTCTCTTTCTTTCACGACGACGGTAATTATCCTGCAGGACGGTATTCCAACTCGCTTCACCGCCCTCTAGAACTAGTTGGCTTACGTGCTCTGGATACAGACTCACGCGAACCACCTCGGCGAGCCTAGCCTCGACGGTATCCGCATCTATCGCCTGTTGAGCTTTAAAGGTAACTCGCCGACCATTCTGAAGTGGCTGCGGCGGTGCCGCCTCGCGAGGGCCCGGTGCTTTCACCTGATTATTCATTCACACTACCCAGGCGCGCACCAAAACACCAAAATATTTTTTGACTAGACTGAACGACGCAGCTTATGAACTAAGTGTGTTGGTAACACTAGAGTACCGCAAACCTAGTGAGAACACTAAAAAGTATAAAAAGTGGACTTCTCAGGGCACAAAACAAAACACATTTAAAAAATAAAACAGTAATCATCCCTTTTTTTTTCTGACGATAGGTGTACTTATTACACATCAGATGAATATATATGCCAACATGCATAGGCATTCATCCAGCCCATACTTTGGCACCCTGAAAATGCAAGTACGACACAAGAGACGATAAATAAAGAAAAGGCTTAGAATAAATAACGAGTTGAGAAAATCTACTTAAATAGCTCGAACAGAGATTGTTTACATAGAGATTAGACTAAAATAAGTGGAAAATTTCGAGTGGTCCCTCAGCCTCACTTTGATTCGAGGGTCTTATATATTATATGGCCATCATTTCGTTCCCTCCCTGCCGCCCCCTTCCACCTTCTTACTCTTCGAGGCTAAAGCGCTATGTCGTCTTCAATCGCATCGTCGACTACATCACACCTCTCACAGCCTTTACCAGGGATGGAGCGACAACACACACAACCTTCCTCTGCAGAGCAGATAGTATCACCCATGTGAGAAGCACAGGCGACACCACCCATGGGTGTACGACAGAGGTAAGGATATCCCGTATTTGTGCATAGCGTGCAGTTAATTTGGTGAATGGCAGCAATAAGATCAGCATTAAGCAAGCAAACACAAAGGAAGAAGACCGCAAGGAAGAAGATATTCTTTATGCGCCACATATTTTTTCCCACCCTATTATATTTAAGTATATAAATACGTCTGACTTTGTCAAGTAAGAGGTAAAAACGTGTATCTACAAATATTTTAGTTTGGAGACAAAAAAAAGGAGTCAATTTTTTTGATGCTGGTAGAGGCATATGGAGTACTTCCCGTACTATGTTGCTTGACCACACTATGTTTCGATTGGATCGAAAAATCTAGCTCAATATGTATCTCTCGTTTTATTTTGCAAAGAAAACTTTGCGAAATAATGAAAGACAACTGTTTATATTAATCACACACAGTCTATACTTTTGATTCCATCGGCACTCAACGACTCCTGCTTTCTTGCTTATTCTATAGTCCCCAACCCTGAAGGATGCACTCCAAGTGCTCTAAAATAATGCACGTGAATCTTTGATTAGTCATCTGCAACACAATAAAAACTTTCAAAAGAACATATCTCGAACATAGGATACACTTTACACCATCTAAAATCGATTTGCACATTGACGTGTCGAAAAAGTTACCGTTTGCTGTGGAACTGAAAAAATAACACATAGAGAATCCTTCTATACAGCATCTAAGCTGCAAAGAATCCTGGGCGTCGCTTCCTTCCCATGGATGAATTTCATTTTTTTAGAAACACGATTTTTCAAAGAAAAGAGAAGAACGAAATTACGAATGAATCCTAAATGTACAAGGCAATGCTAGAATTTGCCCTCCATTGTTACTATTAACAAAATAACTGATAAGATATAGATATGTTACAAGTAGTAAGTTAACGATCTCGACAACTTGAGAATTCAGGGCAAATAAGTAAGACCATTTTTCCCAACTAGGAACCCTAGGACGAGGAGTGAATAACTCAAAAAAGCGATGTTCCAAAGGAGAAACGAAACTTTTAGCAACATAGGAAAGCCAAAACCACTAACAGTTGGAGTGAATATTCTAATAACTAACATATAGGAACAGTCGTAGTCTAATTGTCCCTCCCTTTTGGTCCCTTTGCTGCCCTTGAGTTTCGTTTACATAAAGCAATTAACTTAGCTATTTTTGGCTTATTGGATTCCTTTTGTTTGTCCCTCGTTAGTATGTCGATAGAGCATTTTCCTCCTTAGGATACATTTCCTGCTCCAAACAGGAAGCTGCCCTCTGGATTGCCTCTGGCAGACCCTGGCCAGCGAGAATAATCGCTTTCTGTGCTGTACGACACTTCTTGTTAAATTGCCTGACCGCCTCCATTGACAACGCATGCATATCACGCCGAATCTGCAAGTCATTGATTTTGTGAAGGGTTACATTGATAAGGTCCAGTTCGTACCGAATGTCATCAGCGTAGAGCAGCTCAGCAAAGGCAGACTCGTCGTTCTGAAACACAGCCTTCCGCATGAGATCGAGGTCGTCGTCAGAGAGAGCCTCCGCTAGTTTCACATTGTACTGACATAATGCCTCCGTCGTATCAAATGTGTTGCCATCCATAAAAGAGGAAAAAGAGAAGATCGGATCGTTCAGAAAGGAGTTATTCACCACAGGGGTCGGCTGAGATGGGGATTCCTTCGCTTTTGACCTCCGTGTGCTGGTGGTTGACGCTGAAATCGGCGGATTGGACTTTGGCGGGGCCGTCAAGGAAGGCGCCGCCACCGCTTCCGCCTCCACGTCATCCGATACGACGGAATGCTTGCTTGTCTCCATAGAATCGGAGACCATTGAGGAGGAGGTCTGTGATACCACAGGCGAAAGCTTCCGGGCAGGGGTATCCTTGGAGTTATCACGATGCCCATCAGACGCTGGTATATCGCGCTCTTTATGAACCCGATCGTCTGTTTTCCCGGGCGCTTGCACTTGCCTTCGGTGGAAGGCATCCATGGAAGAGACCTCGCTACCCTCCAGATTCCGTAACCGCAAGGGCTCCTCCTCTTGCCCGCTGGAACGATGAAAGCTACCGGATCGGGCGGAATCTCGTGACCGCCCGTTACATCGAGACCTCCTGGCATCCTCTTCAATCTCGTATTTCATATCCTCAAGCCAATCCCTGGTTTCCTCGATCACCTGTTGAATCCCCAGATGTCTTAAAAGGGAGACTTGGGAGGATGACTCCGGCCCATCAATGGTAAGGGGAGGATCGGAATCCCGTCGCCACCCCCTTTCCACCACCCCATCACCTCGAGAAGTTCGCCTAGTTGAATAACTCTCATCAAATGATGAATGAGGCCGCCAGAAGGTTGCATCCCTTTCGTTCAGGCGAGCTCGTGGATTCCTACGCGTAGGGCTGCATTTGAGCCCTTCATCGGGAGCTCCCATGGGGAAAGGGACCCCCATGAACCCCTGGCGCCCCGTAGGAGACCACGCAATCCAATCTCCTGGGGATCTAAGATGCGAGGGGAATCGTAACTGATCAAAGTCGTGATCGTCCTTGGTGTAATGGTTATTAAAACTGTTATAGAGCACGATGTATCGCGGTTCCGTTTCGGTTTCCCGCGCGTAAGGATCCCGATGCGATCGCCTGGAAGGGTATTCCCTATGATCATCACGAGAACGCGCCCCCTGATGTGGAGAATGCCGAGAAGAATCTTGTCGACGTGAGGAAGAACGCCCGTCGTAGGGGTGATCAAACCGCACCGTGCGTGGAATACCTCCAAGATGGGCATGCGCTCTTTCCTCGGTGGATCGGATATCCCGAGTGGAGGGGTGGGAACTTCGAGAGTGCGGGTGATTCCGATAGAGGTGATCGCTGCTTTCGACAATCGGCTCACGAGAACTGAGACGGGGCTGGGATCGTCGAGAAGATCGCGAATGCCCTCGGTGGGGGGTTGAGGAATCCGCCGCACGGCGTTTTTCGCCTCGATCCTCCGTGGAAGGCGAGGCGGAACCATTCCGCTGCGCCCTCAAAGGCGGCCTGAGGCTGCGCCCGGATACGGAGCTCCCCCCATCACGGATGGGAACCTTCCGTGAATCTAGACGGTTGGCATCATAGCGAGGGGAGGGGCCGGAGCTCATGATGATGGGGTTGATTCTTTCCGGGGTTCTATTCTGTGGCGGGGTGCGGGATCGCGGCGGCTGGGTATCCTCACGCCGGAGTGGACATTTAGGGGTGTCGTTGAAGTCCTCGTCCGGATGATCCGGACTCTCATCCAAGGGAATCGAGCGCTTCGATGAGGGATGATTGTGATGAGAATCGGGCGCATGGTCGTAATCTTCGTGATGCCGTCGGCGACTTGCCGACCGCTCTCGGTGAGAAGAGCTCCGCTGCTTCAACGCATGATCCTTGGCATGCCTACGGAAGGAAACCGAGTGGTCGCGATTGCGGTGCGAATTTTTAGATTCGTAGGATGAATCATCCGAGTAGTGATGTTCTGACTTCCTTAGACGCCGGTAAACCTTTACATATGGCATAGTTCGCCCCTACTTGAGAAGAGAAATTGCAGGTCTATGCCTGCGAATATGCTTTCTTCCTATAAAATGAGTGTGGATGAAGGGGAGGAATACCCTTGGAGGGGACTGTGGGAAGTAGACAATGAAGATCCTCCATAAGAAGCAGATATCGCACAGGTTTGAGCAAGCATGGCTAACCATAACAAACCCTGGATTCTCCATTCAGAAGTCACTGACATACGGTTACGCATGGAAGTCGCTTCTAGCGTTGGATTTTGATTTCAAGAATCAGCAGGAGATGAAAAAAGGAAATAAATAGAAGTATGGTAAACCCAGTTTATCCCTATTTAAAGTAGGAACAAGAGTTTAAAGGAAAAAAAGTTGCCACCATGATATCCCCTATGTGCCGTCATGGAACAGTGAAGAATAGATGAAAATGGGGTGGACAAAATCCATTGCGTTTTAATCTTAAAATCCATGAGGTAAATGACCGGGTGGGTGAAAAAAAAAGCGAGAAAAAACCCTCCCCCTCCCCACAACGGCTACGTAGGCAGAAATCTAGCCTCAACTAGGGGTTCTCTTTAAAAAAAAAAAACTAGCTAGCAGAAGAAATAAAAATAATAAACAGTGCGACGAGACGAACCTGTGATATCACGTCGATACAGCATCACACCTGCATGCAGAGCGGAAATCCTTCAAGCAATGAAAGCGGTCCGTCCGTGCAAGCCTGTAACTCAGCCTTCAGATGGGTTCGCCACATCCATTGAATTTCCTTCCGCATGTCATACAGCGTGGCCCTCACACAAGGATGGATAAACGCTTTTCCCGCTAGGTGACCAGAGATACGTTGCTCGAGTTGCCGCAGCACGCCCGCGTCGGAAACGGACAACGGCATCAGTGAAGCACTCGAAAGCTGCGGCGTGGACATCCTCGAGAGCCTCAACCCCACCCACTGAAAAGGCAACAGCGCGATCCTGTTCTCCGTTTCGTGAGAAGAGGTCATTTGATCACTGTTCTCGGTTACTTTCTGGATCCATCCAGCGCTGGATGGACCGCCCTCTAACATGGTTAGCAAGATCCGCAAGCCATGCGGATCCCCGTCGACCAAAGCAAGGAGTGGGAGCCGTGGAAGCTCTGCACACAAACGACGCATGAACAGACGAGAAGCCACGCAAGGATACCCCCTCGTGCACAACATCACATAGGAACGCATCATCGGTCGCACGTCGCCTTCTCGGCTGCCACCATCACCATGGAGGCCCCGTTTGGGCTCCTGAATCTCGTGTAAAAGCGTACGTAAGGTGCTTTCCTTTTCCACGAAAACAAGGACCACCTCACGGCCCCCGTCGTCTATTGTAAAACCGCTACTGTGAAGGCCCATTTCCGCGGTGAGAAACACGCCATTGCCATCGCAACACACCTGAACCGACGACCCGCCCGCGGCCTCTTTGCCTGATCGATGATCAAGCATCATGCAAAGAGGACCCACAAGAAGGCTCTTTGGGGCCGCCACAACGCCAAGAGCCTCTCGGGTGTACGGCCGAGGGTGATTCTCGCTCGTGAGGAATCGCTCCAGAGCCGCCTGCGGGCTCGTGAAGATAAACCGATAGGCCGCGCCTTGGTGTGGTTGTGGGAGCGTATCGTGGGGTTTCAAACACGACGCGGCAATCCGCATCCAGACCGCAAGCCGTTGCAGGCATCGATGCACGCCGCGCTGGCCTTGAGGTGCGAAGAGTGGGGGGTTGCAGTAGTAAAGATCACGCTCCGTACAGGTCGCTTTACTCGTTACGGCCCCGTTTCTCAGTATACATATGCTGTTAACAAGGCTTAAAATACGTGCAAGGCATTGCAATTGGTTATCAGTATATCTGGACTCGATTGATCGTTTTCTTCTTGCGTTCTTCGAACGCACTCCAGCAAATAAGGATGCGTCACATTGATCAGGATGTGATTTCACAAGACTGTAGAGAAAAAGAAGGACAAGCGATTCAATCACCAAAAAATGATTAGCCTCCATTTCTGTGAACCTTTATAGGTTAGTATGTGTGTATCCGTGTGTTTTTATGTGTGTACAGGCGCAATACAGACTTTTACTAAGAAACCAAAAAGAACTCTCTTTAGTTCTAGTCTTTAATAAGAACCAAAAAAAAGTAAGTCTGGAGGGAATTAAATCGCATTGTTCACGGTGTATCTCGACAAATCAGAGTCATGAAACAAAAACGTCTCTAGTATTTTGCCCATATGTGCTATGGTTTCTTTGATTTTACCTCGCTTCAAGCTACTGCAACGTGGTATTCACAAAACAATTAAAAAAATCGTGATCTACGCACAACGCTATCACTTTCAGTAAGAAACATATGCATATATACATTACATAAACCTCCATATCGGCCATACCAAGAGATTAACTTATGGTATGCGTAAGTAAAAGCGATGATTGGCAACAAAAAGGGAGGAATTGAATCCCCACACACGCGGGAGGAAACGGAAACGAACGCAATTATGGCTAATGGGACTTCAATAACCAAAAAGGGAAGAACAATGAGTTCAGCAATTTCTGATACTGTGTGCGTAATTCAAAGCCATTTCAAGATGTTCCCGCATTTTTGTATACCTCTTCCTTTCTTCACTATCGCATGCCGTATACACAGCAGGAGTAAGGCTTTTAGGAATTTTCTTTTTGGAACCCTCTTCAGCTTTAGCAGCTTCATAGCCTTTAACTAAGTAAAGAAAAGTTGAGACAACATCGTCCGCTGGCAAAGTCCTACCATCCTCTTGGATATTTTGCGGCTTCCTCACGGCATCTCTAGAAAACTGATGAAGCTCTAAAATATTCGTATCATCTGATTCCAAAACTGTTGCTGCTCTCTGGGCACTGATATGCTCGCAGACTTCTGCTGAAATTTCCTCCATGTAGTAGACAAGCCTCGACGAGTCGCGCATCACGACCTCTGGGGATAACGTCATCATATCCCCTCCGCTGCTATAGATGTGGTTGGATATCGCGTCCTCCAGAAGGTATGGATCCGTTAGCCACAGCTCCACTAGCCCAGGGTGTACGGTGCTTTTCACGATGACATCACCAAGTGGGTCTTGCTCGAGACGAGGTTGCACAACACACAGCCGCTCAAACAACCCATGCCATGAATCTATGCTTGCATGCACAATGTTAAAAACCCGATCCGGTGCATTTTCAAGTCCAAACATGCGCCATTGGGAATAAATCTTGCCACGAATACTCTCCGCTGCCGCCTCGGCGGGGTTCCCCTCACTTCCGATGACTTCGAGAGAAAATTGCTCCCACGAAAGGTCATCGCCACACCATGATACCACGTACCAGTGCGTCAAAACATGTGCCGATTCCACACTCTGCTTCAAGGCAGGGACGAACGCATTCAAGACGTAGAGCCCATGCTCAGCCAGCTCCGTAAGCTCCAAATCACCACCCCGCAAAACGACACGACGGCGATGAGTATCTCGCCAGTAGTCGAGCAGCTGCGGTGCGGTCAAGTTCCCCAGTCGGCTCAACGCCGTGTATGCGTTGAGTACGATGCCATGTATGACCAGATCGCTCCATGAAACATGAAACGCTTGTTGGATCGCTGTGTGCTCATCCGGTAAAAGGGTGAGGTCCGAGGGGTTGCACACGGCATAGGCGAGTACACCGGGCATTAGACAGCGAAGCAACCCTATTTCTCTAGCCGTTTCCCCCGAAACATCCCCTTCTTCATCAATCCGTACATGCCAAGCGTTCAAAGTCTCCTCCACGGTTTGAGCTACGCACCTGGCAAGGGAATGAGGTTTAATCACTATTAACGCAGTATTACGCACAGGGGATTGATAATAATCTCGCTCAAGATCACGAAGCAATCCCAGTGTGTTCTCCGTACTCTTCCCCGCGAAGCGGTCAAAAAGTGATCCCTGCGTTGATAAGAAGGTGCCGGTGGACGCCAAGCGCAGAAAGCAGGATGATAGGCCGTGTTGCATGACGCACTCATATCCTAGGGGATCGACCTTCAGAGAGGGTGGATTCACCATGAAGAGACGGCGATGCTGTAAAGCGACAAGCGCACTAGACGACGCGTGGACGACGCCCATGAATGGGTGCGGGGGTGTCGTCAGTCCTAGGCTACACCAACACTCACGAAGTATGGCGTGAAGACTTCCTGGTTCTGTCTCTTGCGGGTGCGGGCTTCCGATGATCCTCGAAAGAAGAGTGTCATACGAAATCCTGGACTCGTCAAAGGCCACAAGAAGGTAGGTCCACGGCAAGAGGGCCGAAACATTCATGCAGTAAGGCACGAATCCGTTCACAATATGGAGGCATTCCGAGGGTACCTTCCCAACGTAAAGATCAGGGGCAACACGAACAACCGACGAGCAGCAGTCCCACACTGCATGCACATTCTTAGAGGTCAGACCATACGCATCTGCGAACTGCATCGCATTAAGCACTCGAGCGCGGTCACCAACATTCGTCAACTCGTTAGTCGTACCGCTCCTAGCAACGTCGCCGTCATCGTTAGTATTCGTGGTAGAAAGAATTCCGCTCAGACACTTTTTTTCCTCGTCAGACAAAGAAGCACACAGCTTGGAGGCATCAACCCTCACGGCGTAACGGAGAAGACGTTTATGCAGGATGGAAAACACCTGACGCCGATCTGCTTGCTCAGGCGAGAGGGATCCGGTAGCGAGGACCTGGATGTCATGCTCGCGTAGTTGATGTTTTAGAAAGGAAAGCACAATGGGATAGTCCTTAGAATGAACTAAAAGGCTCGGGTTAAGTGTCAAGACGGCGTGTGCAGTGCGGTGGCTACGTGTAGAATGTATGGGAAGGACAACTTGTGAGGGCCACACTTCATGGATGCCCACAGACCTTGGGCTTTTCATAGGAACCACCTGAAACGTAGACCGGTTCTGGTATGCGAGAAAGGCGTGCAGGAGGTCCCCTGATCCTCTATGGTTTGAACTACAAGGCAACACGTCAAACAAATGCATATTAGTAGTGCCAGGTGCGTTGTTAAGACGGACAACCGGGTTGGTGATGGACATCTTCAGAAAGGAGGGCTGCACCCCATTCCAGACAAGCCAGCGGCCCAGTACATCCTCCTCTGGTGGAATGTCAAACCACAAGCACCGCTCTGTCATTGCCTCTATTGGAGTTGAAGAAACATATAGCCCTGGCTCGTTGGTATCCGGTGGTCGCATCAGTCCGTAGCTTCGCCAGTGCGACGACAAGTAGGCCCGTAGGGAACGCGGGGCAGGCTGCGCATCCTGGTCAGAGCCAATCACGGTGTTCAGGAAATCATCCCAATTCATGCGATCGACTCTCCAGCAGACACTATACCACGCCGCGTGGTCCCCACCAAAAAGAACTCGCGAACGCGCAAGCAAATAGTGAGGGTTCATAACATATACGCCTTCCTTTTCCATGTAGCAAACGTAGAGCTTTGGAGATAAGCAAACCTTTCGCAGCGATCTATCCCAGCACCGCACGATGTGATCCTCGCCGTAGCGCTCTGCCGCCTCCTTTGCGTTGAGAACGAGAGACAACTCGACCGCCGTACTCCACTCGATGTCAAAAACTCGCTTAAACTGCGCCATCTCTGTCGTGGTGATGATCACGTCGATGGCGGAGCGCTGGCAAGCGTTTTGGAAAAAAGCTGAGTAGGGGCGTTTCAGAGGGTGCTTCCGTGCAGCGTCATCTAAAAATAACTTCCCGTGATCCAACACGCGAACGCCGTGGCCTGCGAGCAAACCCAAGATGTCTTCCGCGAAGCCGCGATTGGCGATATTGGGTGGCAGCCACAAAAAACCGAAGTGTTGCGTTGCCATACGAGCCAAGTCCCCGGCGACAGAGCGCGTCAAACGAACACATAGACTGGTGTTATGGCCTGTGCTCATCTGTTCCAGCATCTCTTGCTCAATCGCTGTAGAACCGCTCTTCAAAAAGCCAAAATGTGTCACAATGTAGGGAGGAACACCCTTCATCAGAAGCCATTGCGCCAGAGGGTCCTGAAGTAGACGTAGTTCCCTGTCTTCGTCGTGTTTGCAGGATGTGATGCCAGGCGGCAAAGACCACTGTAAGACGTCTGAAAGTGCCTGAAGCGGCCCTGGGGAGAAGTACCACAAAACCTCTGGGCCCAGCATCATTAGGTTATCCCTTTCACCCTCCAGCAGCTCCTGAGAAAGAATGTCACATAAGCTTTCTGTCGGACCGGGACTTTTCGCGAAAGCTATCTTTGTATCGGGGCTGCATCCCTTTGAGTGGCCCATCACAAAGCCGTAAAATGACTCCCACGACCAGTTGCATTCCTCCCACGCTACTTTGTAGTAGTGAGCACGACAGCCAACAGACATGCTGTACTTCTCCCGTAAATAAGGATAGGCACCGTTGATAACAAAGCACTGATGCTCCGACAAGAATGATACCTGACAATGGGAAGAAAGTTGATGATGACCGGCACGAGTACATGCATGGAGGAGATCCAGAGAGGAGAGGCCTAGTTCTGTGCACGCTTGTTCTCCACCAATAAGTGCCTCCTTGCAGGCATCCATGTCATGGTGAAACACCTCGTAGAATCGCCTCCTCGCGGACACCGTTATCTGGCTAAGCAGCTCATCACCACGAATGGAAGCAAGATGCAACATCACTTGCAGTGTTGGCATGCCCAATGCCCGCCGCGCTGCATCATTGCCATATACATAGCCTTCCCCTTGCACGGTGATCTGAAACCTCATCAAGATATCTTTAACAAGCTCCCCCAGCGCTCCTGATATGGACGATGGGTGCAGAACTAACACTGCACAATTCATCTTCTCAGCATTATAGTGGCTCAGTTGTTGCCGCTCCTCCTGCAGAGCGGCGAGCAAAAACTCATGTGTGTTTTTGTTCTCCATCACATCAAAGACACGAGTGCTTCGTGGACCTCCATCGATACGGATGTGTGGGTTGGATGCCCATGACAGCCACGTTGCAGGAGACAACCCAAATCTCTTGCGCATGAGCGCAGAGCAGCAGCATCGCCCCAAGGGCGTCCCAAGCCAAAGATGCTCCTCTATCATGGCCTCCAGTGGGCTGGCTGAGGCATGCACGCCATTCTCCGTCGAACTGGGCTGCTGCGCAAGATCAAGATCCTTCCAGTCTCGATACAACATGCCACGAAGGCTATTGGACGGTGCCTTGGAAGGGTCCGTGCAGCCAATCACATCCTTGCGGAAGCTACTCCAGCTCAGTGCGGTCTCTGGCCAAGAGATAATATAGCACTTAGTCTTGGATCCAGGGGAAAGAAAGAGATTGCGGAGGTAGGGATAAAAGCCGTTCACAACGTAGTAGCAGGTCGCGTCGTCTTTGGGTCCAATGGAGAGTTTAGCAACATAGGCACCGCTGGTCAGCTTAATCTTGCAGGGTTGTGCGCTCCATAACTCATAAAGGTCGCTAGGCGTAACCCAAGTAAGAAACTGAAGCAAATTAGTGGCGGACCACACCAACCCACCCGCCACCGCGTCCGCCCAGGAGATACCGTAGCCTTGCTGGAACCTCTCCAGGGTCTCAGTGTCTAGAGGAATATCGTATAGAGGACAATCGCCAGCATAATAAGCTATTGTGCGGTAGTGTCTATCCACCAGGTTGCTTGCCTGTATCTGTATGGCGTCGATGTCATCCTCGTCCTCCATTCGAAGCCCTGCAATGTTGTGTGCTAGAATACACTGCCAAATAGCTAACAGCGCACGTGGCGTGAAGGCCGAGGGCTTTACTAACAGCAAAGCTGTGTTACGAGCAACCTCATCGGCCTCCTGGTCAGACCCTCGGGTGACGAAAATGGGGCCATTACCATTCTGATCGAAGAGCTTTAAACCATCACAAACCTCATCAGGTGAGGTACGTGTCGGGGCCGCCTCTTTTATCGAAGTTGCATTATGTGAGATTGTGCGGTCGGCTAGATTATCCCTGCCCCTCTCCTCCTCCTCCGCGTGAAGTCTTGTGTAGAGTTTCTGAACGCGCTCCACAAGTGTTTCGAGGTTCTCAAGACTTGCAAACACCTCAAAGATGGAGGTCAGATGTCCAGTGGGCAGAAGAAGAATAGGGTCCTCTAGTAACTTCTCCAGAAATGTTCTGGAGAGGCCACGCTGCAGTAACTCACAGCCTAGCTCACTTTCCACGAGGTCTTCGTCAAGCCATGCGCGACGCCACGCTAGCACTTCGAGCGGGCCACTAGCCACCTCAAGAACATCATCCCAGCAGGGATCCCTCGACCTCGGGTTGCCTTCATCCAGTAGAGTGCACCCTTCTAGGCACTCCAGCACTGGTGCTGGTAACTCATTGCTACCAAGAACTTTTGTTCGATATTCGGTATAGTTGTATAGAGCTTGTGGCCATGAGACCGCAAGAATGCCGCATCTGCAGCCAGGGTTATTGAAGGATTCCAAAAAAGCAGGGAAGAATCCATTGATTACATACAGCGGTTTCGATAGTGTTGCTTGCGGTAGATCCTCTCTTAATATTCCAACATAGAATCCACGAAAAAGCTTCTTCGTAGCTGGGTCACTTTTACGTGGAAGATAGCTGTGAAGGTCATCTGTGGAACAACCAATGCTAGTCAGCGCATCCTGTGCGGTTAGCAGACGACCCTCATCCACGACTTGATCCCACAGTTCACGGAAATGGTAAAAGAACATGGAGTGCACCTCCGCAGTATTGCAGATAGCCTCTTTTAAGATGTCACTGGTGGAGGACATGGCATAATGCTCTACAATCGTATGGTGGCGCTGGACATGGTTTCCATACCGTTGTGCTTCCTCCCCTGTGAAGGCGAGGACTTGATCAACCTGAACCTCCGCCCGCTTCAGAGCTTCGGTGGTAAGATCGACTAAATCTGTCGTATAGACGTCTGGTGGGATAAAGATAAAGGAGTGAAGCATGTTCGTTCGTGGGATGTCGCTGTTCCTTAATATTTTCTGTTTTTGTATTTGGTATCCATGAACCAGGTCTTTTCCCCACTCAGAACCTCTGATGAGTTCGGATTAAGATTATATGCAATGGAGGAAGGCGAAGGGAAAGAAGAGAGCAAGATGAAAATGGGAAAAATTACAGTAAACAAATTGAAGGAGAAATTAGACAAAAAAAAGGAATGAGGCAAAAAGGTTCAGATTCGTACGAATGACTCCTGAGGGTTTGCCAAATAGAGCATCAGGCCACCCCATCTTTTCTTCAGCTGTTGCTAGCTTCTCAACGGCTCGAAATCCCACCACCACTGGCACCACCTTACTTTTGAATGAAAAGGTAGAAAGAGACTTCACTGGATATGGCAACGTGTTCATACAAACGTAAATAACGAGTGGGTACACTCGATTGCATCTAAAACAAATGAAAAAGAATCACCCTGACGAGGATAACTTTCTATTTAGTAAAAACAAAATATCTAAGGCTTCGATCAAGCAGCAGCAGCAGCAGTCCTTATTAACGACTCCTCCATCTGACCTTGGAAAACACCGAGGCACCTATAAATGTATAGATACAAATATATATGGTTCACTGGCTGGAAAAATCTCGGTCTATAAAATATTTATTCTTTTAATGCTAATATTTCGCTTCTAGAGATCCTCTCTCCCCTTTGTTACGCATCGCCACCGTAAAACGGTACCGCTGCTTTATGGACTTGCTGAAGTGCAACCAAATCTGTAGTAAGTGTGCTCATTATATTTTTTATCTGAACAAGGAAATTGGCAACCTGAGTGGGTTCCCCAGTCATAATAATAAGCCGCTGCAAGAGTGCGTACTGCTCCGAGTTGAGTTCCTCAGACAGTTTATGTTCCAAAAAGCAATTCAGAATAGTTGCAAGATCCCTGCCATACGTCAGTAAGGGCCTCTCGCTGCCGTCCTCGGTATCATAGGGAATGGTGCGACCAGCGTTTCGGTCCACGAACATGCTGAAGTCAAGAGAACGCTCCCAATGAACAGGTACCACCAACGGGAGCGTGGCTAGGCCATTGGCACCCAACGTATCCTCTCTGGATACCCCAGCTCCATCCACTGGGTGGACTAACAGCAGCTCTCCCAGAGAGGTCATATTGCCGTGAACAATGCGGCGTGCCACCATAAAGGACAACAGCCTCAGAACGGTCTTCAGCAAAGTCATATAAGAGGCTGAGGAAAGGGGTAAGATGCTCATCGGGACCGCGCGGTAGCCTGGGGGAATCGTCATCAACGTAAGCCCGCCATCTGCGAAGTCAAACCCATGTATGAATACCTCTGGCGCAGCAAGTGTAAGACCCAATGCCGCACGTTGACTTTCTTTGCCCTTGAAAGGAAGGTAATGAGTACGCCAACGGTAAAGAAGGGTTTGTGGGCCGTCTGGACGGACGGGAACACACTCCACATCAGAAGCATTAACCCCCGATGAGTATTTTTCCCTTGTGGATTTGTTTTCCGCGACTGGATTCGGCTCGCCTTCTCCTTGACTAAGGACCTTCTCGCTAGGGGGCTTAGACGTACCAGCCTCTGAAGCGGAAACGCTGGCAGGAAGCGTCTTGCCGGGAGGCACTGCCTGTCGATCAGGAAACACCGACGTTTGTGGGGAGTGTGGCTCCGCCAGACCGGTATCACATGTGCCTTCGGTGTCTCCACGTTTGCAGCGTGGGGGGTACACCTCCACAACCTCGTAAACCTCCGCAGCAACAAACAAGGAAAGCAATCGAAACCAATGATGGCCGATTTGGATGACTAGCCCACACCGTAACTCCGGTGTTGGGGTGTCTGGAAAGCTTTCGAGAATTTGGCACGAGCCCGTAATGTTTTGGTAATTGTCCTCAATTATGTTGTGTACCTTGCTGGCAGCGATTACTGGGGCCTGTAGCCCGTAGATTGTGCTCGGAATCAAGTGAGTATGGGCAAGGGTTGTGGTGTATCGTCTAGTCTGTGCGCCACCACAGGTTGGGCGAAATAGTTGTGTTGTGATACGTGGGGCTACCGAGTCACGAACAGTTGTCAAACGAATTGGATCATAACCCGGCGCGATGGCCGTAGCGACCTCCCCTGTGGCATATTCGCCGAGTAGTGCTGGTGCCGCAGGGTTTCGCATGTTACTGGGGCGTGGCGGGGGGGTCGATGAAGTCGGACGGCGCTGCAGCGCAAATTCCACTGCCATTTGCGTCTTCTTCTGGTCCTCGTAACCGTCTACGTAGGAAACTCTGCTTAACCGCGATGTACTTCGGGCACGCTTACTGCCCGTTGCACGATGCGCCTGCAGGGGTGCGTCCTCGAATATCTTCCTCATACGTGGCCATCGAGCCGCGTCAGGCTCGGTAGGCTCCGAGGTTACCCCGACGCCAGCAAGAGCATTTTCCTTGCTATGGGCTTCATGCCGGCTTGACACCACATCCTTGCCGTGGTGAGTGCTAAACGGCATCACGTCGTCATATTTTTCAGGGTTCGATGTGACCACTGTCCCTATGCCCAGGTTTGGTGCTCCTGCGGTGGAGGGTGGCGGTACTGGGCTTCCAATTTTACGCCTGTCACCAACACCGTTGATGTTCTTAAGAGTTTCCATCAGAGCTGACGTTTTGACACTGTCGCGGTAAATGGAAAACTCCGACGGACGCGCCGAGACAGAATACGTGCGTGGGTAAGAGGAGTTCCGGCTCATAGCTGAAACCGAAACATCCACCTCTTCCTCTATTCCCACCTTTGGTGCCACGACTTTGCCATCAACTGTGGCGGAACCTTTACCTGGCATGGAAAATACGCGAGAAGGCAATGAATCGATGCACAACTCATTGCTGAGGCGGACACCGGAGCGACGGCACTGCTGCTCCTCGCCCCCCTGTCGCAGGCGCTCGCGCTCCTGTTGGAGGTCCCAGTCGTGTATTTGATACATGACACACAACTCGCGACCGAGACGATCATACATCGGAAACGTGGACGAGAAGGTCACAAGCGGATCGCGCGAAGTTAAGGCCGCACGCCGGAGCTCGTACTGCTTTGCTTTGCGGCCGCCAAGACAATGGCCTCCCACGGCATCCTCGAGCTCACTGACCTGACCACGCAGCTCTTTCTCCTCTTCCTCTAACTCCTGTACGTACTCTGCTGGTGTCATTCTTCGAACAAAAGTTCGATCGTGGCCATGGACGGCCTCAAAGGGGGAATGCATAATTTATCCGAAGAAAGACAAGCGAAAAGCAATAATTTTTTCCTACAGTTTCCTTTTTTACTTTTCTGTTAGCCACACACTATTGGCGCACCAATGAAAAACGAATGATAAACCTCTAATCTGCAAGTTTAATTTTTCAGGTGTGCATCACAAGGATCTTAAATATAGCAATCCTAACCCCCACCAAAAAAAAACGAAATGGAAACGAATAGTGATAATGTTAGAATAACCATGGTGTGAAAAAGGTGAAAAAAAAGGAGGAAAAAGAAAGCAGTGCTGTGTTTCACCTTTTTCCATTCTAGTCAGCCAACACACTTGAGATTTGAAAACCATATGTGTAATAATGTTGCATAGAAACGGCTCTAGTAGACGCTAGCAAGAAGCAAACAGGGCAATAGTATAACTAAACATATTAAAAAATATCCTTTTTGAACGGCCTACAACATCTTAGCATAGATACACACACACACAGCACCAATTCCACTGCTTTTCTCTCAAATGAGAAATGTATACGAAGATTCGGACGTTCCATTACTGTCAACCTCCCCCATGAGAGATATCAACCCGGGGACGGCGCACTGCGACACACAATTACAGCTCGAACCAAGTCTCTCACCTCACAATAATTGCAATACTCTGAGATAAGTAACGCATTGTTTCTAAGCAGTCCACTGCATGAACTGTCGGGGGCAGTGGAGATTACCGGCCGGCACTGCGTATTCATTGAGGATAGCGGTGCCTCTTGATATTTCGTTTTCATTGACGGCATGACGGCATCGGGAAATATTAGAGATTCCTGTCTAACCTGAAAGGGTACTTTATGCGTAAAGGGCAAGCGTGACCCTGAGCCAAACAAACCCCTCGAACAGTCTCCATCTGTCTGGGACTGTCCTGGAAGTTGTGTGCTGTTCAATGTCATGGAGGTGATCTCGGCTTCCTTAGTGACCCGCTGATTATTCAGAGCCAGGCTAGCCATATGAGCATCCCACAAACTCGCCATGTAAGCTGGATCTTCCTTAAATTGCTCTAAATCTGATGATAACGCATTTTCAAGGCGGATAGGATCTGTGGACAGGGGACGGCCTACGCCGGCCATCCTCTCACGCACCGCAGACATCCATGCCGATCTATCCACAAAACTCTTGCGCAGCGTTAGATGATGCGTAACAAAGACAGGGAGAAGGCAAATAACATCCGTTGGTGAGACCACAACGTGCTCCAACGTGGAGAGTGGTTTCACCATGGAACTATTCACGCTGACAAGATCACTGTCATTGGCATTGGTATCCAGTGACACATGAAAACAATTGGCCCTAACATCTAGCCCCTGAACTCGTGGAGACATCCAGCGTCCTGGGGTGCGCCGCATGAGGTCCTCTTCGTTTGGCATGAAAAGCATCGCGGCCGTCTTGAGAAGGGTTATGTACTTCGATACCCGGCGCATAATGAAAGGACCTGATGCCAATTCCATCACCAAACACCCCCGTACCACCTCCAATAAGTGCCGAAGGTATCGAGAAACCGCACCAGTAAGAGTTACCGTCTCAACCAAAGAGGACCCAGCCGACGAAAAGATTACTTCATTCATGTAATACTTATTTACTATGCTTGAATATTTTGAATTGTTGCTTTGAAGAATCACCGCGTTGTCCTTTACCATGCCGGACAAGAAGGTGGAAAGCGCGAAACATGCCCGGATACTCTCTGGGAGCACCGCCGCACACATGTGATGATCACAAAACGCCACGATGCGCAGCGAGGGGACCATCTTGGTGACTCGGTTGTGAGATACATACCCAAAGCTCAGGACCACCGTGAGGACGGACAGCACAGCCGGGCTGGCGGCCATAATCCCATGCAGACACACCACCACCACCTGTCGCTGCCGCCATTGTTTTTGTGATTGCAATTCGGCCGGCTGGAGTCTTTCGTCGTCACGCTGAGTTTTTGACCCGGCACGGGTGGCGGGTTCGGCTCCTCTAGGAAGGGATTGTCGCGGGCTTCTCGGAGAGAACTCGGGACCTGGCAAGTCTGCGGACTCAGCTTCCTGGGGTGCAGTCGAGTGCAAGAGATTGTTTGCTACCCCGCTCACCGATGCCGTCTCAGCATACAGGAAAAAGCTGCTGATGTCCTCCGGCGTGGTGCGAGCGGTGATCCTGAAATCTACATACCTTGGTCCCTTGGGCATGAATGTGACCATATCGGTACTCTCCTTCTCTTGCAACACGAGGAGGTGGGTGTTCGGGACGCAGCAGCATATGCACACAAGAACATATAGTTGTTGAGACTCACAGAGAATAGGCTTACTCGTGGATGGCCACTGGTGGGTGAGAGGGTTTGGGAAACATTTGCTCAGGGAAGGCCTCATGAAGAAGTGCAGAGAAGCAACAAAAGCAAAAAGTCCTTTTGAGCTTCTTGACTCACCTTTGCGCTTTGCTTTCACTCAGCAAAATGTGCGTCTGATATTTGCTTGAAGAATTAGGACCAATCATGTAATATAGTGCTACTTTTGTCTTCGAAAAGGACACAGTGCATCAAGGGCAGGCGGCCAACAGAGTTTCTATTTTACTGGCCCGCTCCCCTCCCTCTTGAAATGATAATTATTTCTAGGGTAACTAATAAAATTTATCATAAAGAAAGCAGTTAACGATAAATTCAACGTAGTAAATTCGACTTTATGCAGGTAATACACCCTCAGATATTAACGACCACACAGCTAGCTATTTTTTTGTGGGCTTAAAAAGTAAAGCATAAACGCACGGATAACCGGGTGTATCTTTCTTGACATATTCTTTCCTTTTTGTTGCTGTTCATGGTTGATTTCATCATACTATTTCTATCTTTAGATGAAGACGGGATGGGTTCGACTCTTCATTAAATGGAAAGCGAGGTAATGCAAAAGGGCACGTTCGTCAACGCTTTCATGAAGACACAAAGTCTAATAAAACGACTTAAAAAGAGTACACAAACAAATAATAGCAGCAAATCTAACTCAAGGATTTCAGAAAAATAAAAACGTCGGATCAATGTACTCGTAAAAATTCCAAAAAGGAAAGAAACTGAAACTGACAGACCCCACATTTACTCACCTTTTGCCAAATAATCTGTCCGAACTGTCAGAAAATTCGTCTGCAGGTGTAATCTCATCCTCAATCTCTGCCTGTTTGGTCGGTCTCCTTCTCGGTTGGACTTGGCGATCGTTTCCATCGGTGGGGTTAGTTCCCAAAAAGGGTACAGGCCCATGTGGATGTCGATTGCGCAAGCCACTGCCCCTATCAACGTTATCAGTAGGGACTGCAATGTCATGATGAATCGGGTTGCGCGAGGCCGGCCAGTCCTTGGAATCTCCTTCTGTCACATCATTGGTGGTAAGATCATGGTGGTGGTGAGAAGGATAACTGTGCGAGTGAGGACTGTATTCAGGCGGTAATGACATCCTGTACGGATGTCCGTCGGCCGCATATGTTTGTGGTAACTCATAAGGCCCCCCAACGCTGTCATTCGCGTCCACTGCTACCGCTGTTGTGTTGTGATATTTATTTTTGACTTCATCATAGGGATTCAAGTGCATTTTGTAATCCTCCGACGCAGAAAGTGAGTCCGCACTGTGCGAATGCCTAACGCGAGTGCGGTTATGACTATCGTAAGCATCCGGTCCTTTAGACGGCAGGCCACTAAAATGGTCAGCATTGCTATTATCGGCTAAATATTCTACGTCATCAAAGTAATTAGCCTGTTCGGTGTTGCTCGGGGATAATGGTGGAGACCAGTTGGGGTTTTGTCGCCATAAGAGGCCAGTGCTCTCGATCTGTGACTCGTGGTCCCCAAAGTGTTCCTTCAGGTTTTCGAACTGCTTCTGTTTCATGGCACGGGCTACCTGATCCCGCATCGCCTGCACCAGTGCCTTGAAGTCATCTTCAGACATAAGTTGATAGGAGCGCACAATACGGACTTTAAGTCCATCCTGCATCGCAGTTCGGGCATCTTTCAAAATAGCCTTACGCTGTGCCGTATGCAGGCGAAGCACGGACTTTTTCGTGGTGCAAAAAGGCGTACGTGACTCCCACGGTGCGTTCGCCTGGGAGTGCAGCAAAGTAGCCTTATCAGAAGAGGAATCGATCAGGATAGCCAATGCTACAAAAGAAACTAATAGACTGAAACAGCAAGCTACGAGGGGCCAAAAAATTGGCGTCGTCAGGATATTGTACTTGTCGTATTCAGCAACCAAAAGCTCTGTTGCATTTTTTTCATGGGCCTTATCCGCGCAAAAGTTGATGGCATCCCGGTAGAAGACCATCTCACGATCACAAAGGCATACAAGTGCGATAATTGCGATGGAGTAAATAAACGAAAGGACTACTAAAATATGATAAAAAGGAACGTGTACACCAAACACACGCAAATGGCGTCTGCAAATGGCATAATTGACCGAAGAAATTAAATTGTTGATAACATGAAGAAGTTCAAGAAAACAAATGATGCTCACATTCTTCGCTGCATCGACAAGACCAACAGTAACACCGTCCAGGGCCACCTCAGTTACCCCTTGAGCAAATCCAACTCTAAGCATCCCACGATAAGTGCAGTTTTGCATGACCATGGATATGCTAGGATGAGCCGATATCGTCGAACGACTGAAGTAGTCCGGCAGTGACTCCGCAAGGCGCGTGTGAAAATCGACGGAGAGAATAACAAGGCTAATTATGTGGAAACACGTTGTCAGTTGATAAATGACCTTGAAGATATATTCAATTGGTTTTCTAGGGTACTCTGGGGTGGAGTATAGAAAGAACATCTCTTGATTTCGAAAAGATCCTAGTACAGAATATATAAAAACACGTTCGTGTATCGTTTCCCTTTCCTTCTTCAGTGAAACAATGTGTCAAAAAGGCTAAGGAATGCTTCAGAAGAAAGAGCGCTAATGACCTTCAAAGTTGAATCTAAAACATAAAATGATCTAAAAGAAAGCACACTAACGACAACAGAAAGAAGAGAAACAAAAAAAAGGCTAAAAAAAAATCCGCCCGCATTGCGTTATAAATGTAAAGCAAAATAATCTACTTTTGTTTTCTATTCACATTTTTACAGCATAAGCGCTTTTTCCACCCTGTGTCTTGGGAGTTTATCCAGAACTTCGGTGGTATCACGTCCTTGCGCTATTCAATTCACTGTAGTGAGCACTCCAGAGACATAGTCACGCACACATTCTTGCTCGTCAAAATACAATAATATTTCCTCTTTTCTTTTTTAAGGTTCAGATAACACTCCCCACTAATGGGCAGCTCTCACCCCTTAGCGGCGCTGCTTCCGCTGTCTTGAAATGCGCCACGAGCTGCCGGTCTCCCAGGACTTTAGCAGAGGTGTGAAGCGCTCGGCCTCCTGCTCACGGGTAAGACGCCGGCCTTTGGGGGGACGCGTGTAGAAAGCCGGGGCTAATTCCACCAACCACTTCGGCTCAATAGTAAGCAACTCCTGCATGTACTCTCTGTTAGTCAAGCGGATGTCGTCGTAGAGAACGTATTTAGGTGGGTCATCGATTAGCACCGAAGACGGATGGACGTATACCTCACGGCGCTCCGCTAAGGTGACAAAAGACCGCGTATGAGAGTCCACTCGCTTCGCAGCGTGGAAGAAGTACCCAGCGGTAATGGCGCGACGAACCTCATTGAGATTGTCGTCATTTGCGTGGGAAATATTTGTGTATCGACGAGTGAGCATATCCTTAAGTTGATCACGCGTATCACGAGCCTCGACCAGCATGCGGTACTTGACGAAGTTGCGCTGGCACCACTCCTCCGACATCCCATTCTCAACCCACATGTTGTACACGACCATGAGCGTGATTTGATCCCCCTCCGGCTGCCAAAACTGCCGCTTTGCGGCGTCCGCAGCCTCCTGCCGATCACGTGGACGGTAGAAAATACCACGCTTCTGTGCAGCAAGCATCGACACAATAGTCAAAACTGGCTCGCTGCAACCAAAATCAACGGCCGTAAGGAGAGTTTTGCTCTGGAAAGGATCCACAGAGAGCTGCGCCATGCGCCCACCCAAAGGCGTCAGTGACCCATCGTCGTCCAGCGCCTCGAGGTAGCGCAGCTTTTCCAATGCTGCCACAATCGCTTCCTGCGACGGAGGGTCCATAAGATCGACGCTGAAGAGATCAATCCCCATCGCTTTCAGCTGAAGCGTTACATGAAAAAGATTAGCACGCATGATGTCCGGCACCGTCTCCGGCGCCATGTCCTCACGGAACTGCAACTCGGTGTATATGCGGAAACACTTTCCGGGTCCGATACGCCCCGCACGGCCACTGCGCTGCTCCGCCTGCGCTTGCGAAACGGGAACCACTTTGAGCTGCTCCACCTCGCGTTTTGGGTTATAAAGGTTCTGTTTACAGTAGCCACTGTCCACGACGTAGTAAAGGTTGTTAATTGTAATGGACGTCTCGGCCACATTGGTGGCGAGCACAACCTTGCGACAACCGGGTGGCGTGGCCTCGAAAACACGGGACTGCACTTCCTGCGGCATCGTAGCTGTCAGTGGTAGTACCAACATGTCAGGGATGGGAGTATCTGAAGCCTTGCGCAAGGCCTCCATCCAATGGAATAACATTTCGCCGCCCGTCTCGATCTCCTCTTGCCCAGTAAGAAAGACAAGTACATCACCTGGGGGCTCCTGTAAATGAATCTTCATGACCGTCTGAAGTGCGGTGCGCATGTAATCAGAGGTGGGTTCGGCAAGGTAGTACGTATCTACTGGAAACGTGCGCCCCTCAATCATAAAGGGCTGATCGATCCCAAAGTAATCACAGAATTTCTTGGTCTCCAGCGTGGCTGAAGTAATCATAACCTTGAGGTCCGTATGCTTCTGCAGAGCATTGCGCACAATAGCAAAGAGAAGATCCGTGTTAATGGACCTTTCGTGAGCCTCATCGAGAATAATTACACTGTAGCGCGCGAAGCTATCATCTAGAAGAGCTTCCCGTAATAACATACCATCTGTCATATACTTGATCCGCGTGAGCGACGAGGTCACGTCGCGGAAGCGCACAGTGTAGCCAACCTCTTCCCCAAGACGGCAGCCGTACTCCTCGGCCACACGCATGGCTAACGTTTCCGCCGCCACACGCCGTGGCTGTGTGCAGCAGATGATGCCCTTCTTGGCGTAGCCGTGCTCTGCAAGGTACTGCGGGATCTGCGTCGTCTTCCCACTGCCCGTCTCACCAACCAAAATGGTGACGCTATGGGTATCGACGTATTGGAGAATATCATCACGTTTATGGTAAATAGGAAGCGAGCGGCGCTGTCGCTGCAAGTCCTGGGTGCTGGGTGGGATACCAAAGTGTGGTTTGCTTCCAAAGCTGTGTCGCATCCACGGTGGCAATTTTGTTGGGAGATCCCGAGGCCGGAAGCCACCCTCCCCCGGTACCTCGTCCAGCTCCGTGTGGAGAATGTCCCGTGAGGAAAAGGACACAAGACTCGCTTTACTGCCGGCAGTAGCGGGGATGTCTTCCGTTTCATCCGCGGCGGTAGGCGAGGCAGGCGCTTCCGAGGACTGCTGCTCCTGCCGACGCTTTTCTTTTCGTGCAATCATGCGGCGATCCATCGTAATTCGCATCTGCATCTCCGCCACGCGCTCCATACTGTTGAGGCGATTGAGGTTACCCTGCGTGCTCTGGGCTAAGCGATCGAGAACGTTCTGTCGCTGCCAGGGTGTACGAGCCTCGCGTAGCTGTTGAGAGGGTAACAACATACGATAATTCAGTTTCCGACGGAAGGAAGAAAGCCCAAGGTTACGCAAGAAACGGGGATCGGCCTCATTCAACTCAACCGCGTCATCGTCTTCATCCTCAGCGCGGAGATTCAAAAGGTCAGACTCGTCTGCCAAACCACTGCGCACGTGTTGCGCCATGCGGAAGAGCTCCTCGGGAGAAACCTTCATGGCGGCCTTGCGCTCCATGGGAGAGACGTCCATTGTCTCTGCACCTTCTCTAGATTGTTTCTGCTTCCCAGCCTCCTCTGCTGCCTTTTGAGACTCCACGGCGAGTTGCATCGCCCCCACCACTAACGCCGCTTCAACGTTGGATGGTGTTAACGCTGCGGCCAGTGTTTCATATAGTTTCTTAACTTTTTCCAACGGAATTTCGTCGTCTTCACCCTCAGGCGCATCATCATCTGCTCCATGGCTGTTGATGGCGCATGCAAGCGCGTGTACGATGGCCTCCGCTGAATCTAGCGCCTTCTCAGTGGTGTGGTTGTCACTGTTGGACGCGGACAACTCGTCAACTTTGAGCATATACAGTTTTACTAGGGAGTCCACATCTTCGTAAAAGGCCTGCCTCTCGTCTGAGTTTGTTGGCGCTCCCAGCATGTGTTCAAGCTGATTATGCAATTCGTTTTTACAGTAAATCTCCTGAAGTCTGTAGATGAAGTCGCGTGACTCCTGCTCCACCTTCGTGGATTCTTCTGTCGCGCTCATTATCTCTGTTGACAGTAGCAATATTCGTATGGTAATTCATAAAAAAAAATATAAAAGAACTATAAATGTGATGAGGCGATTCCCGAAGACCCTTTACTTATTATTATGTCTCAATGCACTGAATATGCAACCAAAGGAAAAAAACTAAAGTTTAAACAAATAAAGAAGAAAAAGCGACAGCCTCAATTCCAACGCAAGCCCCTCACTCAACCCTCATTAAACTGCAGAATTAATTAGCAACATCACATACAGTTATCGATACTATCTCTTTCTCATTTTGTGTGTGTATGTGTGTGTGCAACGCAAACAAATATGGTAAAACTCGGAACACGGACACACTCAAAAAAAAATACATAAGGAAATACTCCTACGAAAAGTATTTAGTCTGCTTCAGCAGCAAATTCCAGTATATATTCGATAGACAGATACTACTCCTTACACCCATACAAAAACAATACACATATATTAGTCAAATAAACCCAAACCGCATTCCAAAACAAACAGAGAAAAAGTAATGATGGTCTGAACTCATGCACTCCAACATCAAACCAATTCTACATTTGAATATCAGTTTTTTAAAAAGTCAAGAAGTATAGTTTCTAAACTATTTCTGAAACGCATGCAGATATATATTACAATCACCCATACCATGACTATACCTGTACATCTTACGAAGGCATAAATCATGGAAAAAAAACTTCTGCTTTATGAAAGCACTTAGTTAGCATCACACATTTATTAGAATAAATTCAATGCAAATTTTTAAAAAAATGTGAAAGGAACTTGAGTAAATAAAGCCTCATTTGATACATGTACGTGTAGGGAAGAAATGGAACGTAAAGGTCACGCGAGAAAATAGGTATACAAATATATATATGAAAACATTTTTAATCCTCAAAACGATCCATTGATTAACCCGAGAGGCAGCCATATAAAATTAGAACACTATAAGTAATATTGTCTTTGTTTTACCGTGGAAAAATAAAAGGTAAATTTGTTAAATTTGTATACTTTTGCGCGGGAAAATAACTTAGTATTGCCTCCCCGCTACTACCTTCTAAAACGTCAAGCACTCACTTATTAATTTCATGAGAACGCTTCGGTTGCGGCCTCATGCTCAGCCTCTTCCTCCAGCGTACGGGGAGCTTTCATGAGAGAGGGCCGTATCCGCTCCCGCGCCGCACTTGCGTAGCGCGAGAGCCTCACAAGGCCATAGGGGCTGCGCCCCTCACTATTCAGATCTCCGATTTCAATAAACCGGTCAACTGTGACAACAAAAGACAATCCGAATACGGCGTACTCGGCGTTCCACAACTCGACCAATCGTTTTTCAGGGTTGTAGGACCGTACCAAGGCGGTACTGCTATCCATGTTCGCGATACCATGGGCTTTCAAAACGTTGTAGTTGAGGACAAGGACAGCTTTCTTGGCGTGCGTAGCTTCTCTTAGCAACCCATCCAACTCGTCATCAATATCTAAATCATCAAGGGCCTCTACAACGACCTCAGAGCCTTCAGCGGCATCGTAGTCTCCTTTAGATACCTCTAATGCACTAGCCTTGCGGGATTTTAGGAAGAGGCTGCACACCTGCGCCATTAAAGGCACATCAACCTCCTTGTTGATCACGGACAGAGACACCTCGACATCACGCCAGGCGAACGCCTGGCTACCACGTCGGCGCTGATCGTTCATCGTTTTAAGATAGGCCTCGTAAAAGATCTCCTCCGGGCTGTAAAAGCAACCAATTTGCGAAAATGCAAAGGAAAGGCCTTGGAAGTGGGAACTGGGGCTTACGTGAAAAGCATTTTGCACGGGCAGTAGCTCTAGCTTGAAGTCAACGCATTGATCTGGTTTAAAGTCACACTGTTTATCTACACCACGGCATACAAGAAGACAGCCGCGGGCGCGGTGTTTGCACGTCTGAGGCGTGTCCTTAATAGCGTTGTAAAGAGTCGAAAGGTGAACTGACCAGGTGCGCTCATAGATGTTCGGGTTGCAATCCGATACTACAACGCTCCCCGTTGCGGCAATCATTCCAACCACAATCCCGAGGTTCCCAAAGGGATTGGAAGTGCCATTCACATGGATGCAAGAGCTATCGAAGTCTACAATAAGAACCCGATTCTTCTCATCGGCGAGCGCGGTCTCGATTAAGCTCTTGAATTCCGGAAGACTAAACTGTGTTGGTCCGTCTGTGTCGAAGTCGCCATGTCGCACAGTGACTTCAACGCCACTGTCCAAACCACTAAATCGCAGATACTGCGTCAAGCAGACATGTACAGTCTCCAGCGTGAAGAGCCGAATGAGCAACGAAGATACCTCAAAGGGAAGAGTATAAATGACATCCTCGAAGGTGGTAAACCAGCCTAGGCGGCAACAGGCCATGGCAATAATTGTTGGCATCAGCGGCAGGTGAGGGAAGTTAAAGGTATTTACAAGAGGCGCTGGGTTCTGGAAGTCCCACTTGTGTTGCTGCGACAATAATTGTAAACAAGACTGCACCATTGGGGCGATCTCCCGTGGCGCACCCACGGCGCGATTGCTCACACGGGCAGATTCCTTATAGAAGATCATGTAGCCGTTGCCCGTCATGGCCATATGTAGCCGGTCAAGTAGGCAGGTCCAGATGCGAGAAAAGGTCTTAGGATGAGCATCGATGAGTAGGACTGTTTGTGTCTCCTGGTCGTAGCCAGCCAGTAAGCACCACTGCTGCACTTCCGCTACGTTCAGCACATTGTGTGCAACACCGGCGTTGTACATGATGACCATCACGTATGCTGGAGCCTCGGGATCTTGATTGGCTTCCTTGACGTCGAGGATAATAGACTCCAAATCAAAAATCGAAATCGTTGGCACAGCATCTTCACGCGATATCTTAGTAAGCACTGGATACAAATTCACCCCGTAGGGCCGCTTGGTACGTTTCATGTATTCTACGGCGTACTCATACACCTGCTCCAGGCGTAGGCAGCCATCCAAAAACACCATTGACGGGAACTTCATGACGCGAATGATGTCGGATACTGGAAGTCCATTGCCGTGGCCATGGCTTTCAGGACGCACGCCGCCCAGCAGATGCAAAGCCCAAGCCACGGCGGCGATATGTGGGCTAATGTGATGAGAAATGATAAGCGCGTGTGTGCCAAACTGCGTCGTGCCGAGAACCTTACCACTGCACAGCTCGGGTGTCCATAAGAGCCGGATCTCATCGCTTGTAAACTCTGGAACGGAGTCCTTTTTGAATATTCGAATGAAACCGCGCGCTCGATGGCCCTCTTTGGAGGCCATCATCGCCTTGAAAAGCGACGATGCGGGAACCTCCGTCAGCTTCACATGGAGTGAGCTATTCACAACCCCTTCTGCAATAGTTACCATCAATTGCACAGCGTTGCGCACATCCACTATGACAGCATAGGCTCCTACATCCTTTGGTGTGTAGATACGCTGATGGTGCTGCTGTCGTGAGTTCCCAAGCACAGAGGTGGCGAGTGGCGAGTTAATCTCATCCTCGTCATCGTAGGCATCTACCATCATCTCCTGCTCGAGCACATACGGTTCGTAGTTGACGATTCGAATGACGTCCGTCTCTTCCTCACAGTCCTGTGTAATAAGTCGGCTAAATTCGGGAAGCTGCATGCGGGTTTGGCGGTCACCAACCTCGTTTGGTCCCAGCTCCACCTGCCCCACCGTGGGCAGCACATCAAGATGCAGAGTCTCCAAGCTGTAGACCCCCTTGAAGCGGTTGTCGACGTCGAGGAACTCGCGCACGATGTCCGTCATGACCGGGAGGTGGGGCGGACCACTGTGCAGGAAGTGCAGTGGCACCTGTGCGGCGAAGAAGATGTCCTCGACGGTGACGCGCTGTCGGCGGTCACTACAGTCTTTACTGCCCCCAAGGAGATAGCTCAACCCAACCGCAAGGGCGCCAAAGTGGCTGCATGGCATCAGATCTTTCAGGCCATCCGCGTCATCAACCTCGTAGCTCCTAAATAATTTCATCCGTGCCCGTTTTATTTCAAGAGAGTACTGCCGGCTGTGCTTTGACGGATTCCCAGAAGTGCCCACGTTTCCCGCTGCATTCAGCGAATTGACTCCACCGAAGCCGTGGACTTTACCATCCATGGTGGCTGGCGCAAGCCGCGGTCGGCTGATGCCATTCAAATTCACAGCAGTGTCTACTGGCATCGAGCCATTAACCAAAGCATTTGTGTTGTTAGGGGCGTCCAAAGAAAAGGAAACCAGAGATGAGTGCCGACGGACATCATGCTCCGACGCGTCTTCCTCGCGTTCGGATACGCGAGTCGCATCACCATGGATATGGTCCTGCTCTACAAATCGCCTGTTGTTGGTAGAAAATACCACCATTTCATTTAAAAGGTCATCCCATCGTTGGAGATGGTCTTGGAGTTGCACCGATTGTCCAGACCCCATGCCTTACTATTGCTATTATGGCTTTTTTATCGTCTAAGCCTGTTTTAACGGGATCACTTATAAAGTAAAAAAGCTTATCGAAGATTTCCTTTTTACGTTGTCCGTTTAATATTAACGGTTGTACGAAAATCCCTATTGATTTCACTCGTAAATAATTAACCCTTCTTTCCCTTAATTAGGATAATGAATCGAATGTGGCATCAGAAAAAAAATAAAACAATTTCTCCCCTTTCATGCGCCCCCATCGTAGAAGAATTTAATGTATTTCGCTCAAAGTTATTTTGACCTTTTTGAATATGTACGGTGTGAACGGCGTTTGTTGCCCCAACCACAGTCATGAAGTCTTCTAAGGGATCTCAAACCTATGCTGATATCTTACCCTCCCATACTTTCCACTCTCACCATCTGACGGTTCCACAAAAGCAACAATCTAAATGAGCCCGAGCCTGGACTTCGGAATGTTACTTCATGGTATGAAAATGAAAATTCGTAACAATAAAATTAAATGCGGATTCGCCTCTTCTCATCGTCTCCAAAGGATTTCATCACCTCGCTTCGTCCCACAGTCCACCACCCTTACCACTCAAAGCGCATTTAAAAAGTCAAAAAGGGTAAAGCCTAAGAATATCCTCAAGATAACATACTTAGAAGAAGTACACCCCTCCCGACCCACACACGCACACGCACAAAATACCTAACCTATCACCATCATGCAAACATCGCGCCCTCCATGTTGCACAAAGCGAAAAAAAAAGCTTCGGCTCACTAAGAGGGAGGCCTACATTTCTACCAAATATCTTAGTCAAATTAGCAGAAAAGTAGCGTAACTCTCAGACCGGTGCACATAGTGAGATTGGTATGATGAACCTAGCCCACTGGAAAGCCGGACTTCCCTTAAAACTAGACGGGCACCAACACCCAACTACTTTTTCCAAATCTAGCTTTCTCAAATCAACAAAAATGAAAAAATAAGAAAATGAATTGATAAATGGAACCAATTACTTCTTCGGTCTCAACAAAAAATTTTCACACTGGTTCGTAATCCATTTGGGTGGGAGATTTGCCATGAGTGCTTTTATTTTCGCTATTCTTAGCTCGTAATTATGTAAGCAATCTTATATACTTTACAAGTTGATTTAAATGTACATTGTAATTCAAAATAAGCATCAACGATGTAGAAAAGAAGCGCTTGAAATAATAATTATATTTTACCTCTCTAGCTACCTAGATGTCTTGCTCAGTAAAGTGCGTCGAAGGGACAGGCTGGGCTGACAGATGCACTAAGTTTACCCATGCCCATACTTGTATTCGACATGTCAAAGCCACCAATGCCCACACACGGCACTAACCTTTTACCCTTAAGCTTCGCAGAGGCATCGAAAGCCATCCCAATGTATTTTTTATCAACAAAAAGCTGAATCATACCGGTTTTAGTATCCACAACAAACGAGAAGAGGGCTCCGCTTCCTGCTATAAACGTACGCCACAGCTGCTTCTTCTTCTCACCATTCACATAGACATTTGATGTCTGCATGTCTACGTAGGCTACAGTGGTTGCGTCTGACAATGAGTCCTTCTTAGTTTGATGTGAGGAAGTGGACTCATCTTTTTGAGAGCTAACACTGCCGCTTGATTTTTTACTCGAACGGGACACGGGCAAATCACCTAACTCGCACTCCTCAAGGGAACGATTACTTGGATAGGCAGACGTCGTACAAAAACCTATCCGACAGTCGGATGTGTTAACACGCAATTGAAGCCAATATCGACCGGTGTTAGGGCTCATGCACACGTCACCAATCACAGGGCGGTAGGGGAACTTGCCCCCTCCGTGATGCGTCGCAACAGGGCCACACAAAGTATACGCAGAGCAGGCACGAGCCCAGTTGAAGGTGATGGCTCTCGTGTTCTGAGGTGTAGCTGGGATGTAACCCGAGTTAGGGTCGCATTCGCTAGCTTGTGCCCTACGATCCATGAAGCCGCCGAATACCCGTGTCAGACAATGATTTCTACGCGCTTATGTGGATTCAAAATATTTTGTTGTTTACTCCTTTCCAGTGCAGCGTTGTCAACTGCACACACAATCACTATATAAAGAAGCACGCGCGTATGGATACGCACGAATGCCCTGAGATAAGCGAATGAGACACGAAGGAAATGAAAGGGTAAGTTCATGATTGACTCATATCACATCGTTGTTATTTTATATCACCCCTAAAGAGCGAACAAAATAGTTAGAAATATCTACAACACGTACTCGTGCCGCTGTCTTTTTTCTCACTCCGTTTTTTGAAGAGACATTAAAAATGAAAATTGGAAATAGGAACCTCTTCTGAAGAAAAAAGAAATCGATGGTTGTATTCCATTTCTTTCATATTTCTGCGTCCAAGGATCATGTAATGAAAAAGGTGTGA